CACACACACATACACACACACACACACACACACACACACACGCAGACGCACATTTAGAGAGACATCTCAAACATACATACACATACTTACTCGAACACAAACACATAACACATACATTAAACCGCCACCGGGGCAGTGCCACTGACTGTAGTGTCTTTAGGCCATTCCCAAAGGGAGGACATTTTTCGTTCAAGCACAGTAGAATTGTAAATGGGCTGATTCATGTCACGCTCATAACGGTGCCTGATCTACAACAGGGAACCTTACTATTGTCATTTTTCCTCTACTTCTTTTGTATCTTTGTCACTCTCTGGTGACCTGCTTTTTTGGAGTGCCTTGATAGTCGAAGCAGACCTTGTGTTGTTGAAGCTAGAGAGGTGAGCAGAATAAGTCTGATTCCCTGTAAAGACTTCTCTGTTGACACCCACCCGTTGGCGCTCATATGACCTTATGCAGTTGCGAGCGCAGTAAAACCCTCAACTATAAAAAAGATACATTAAGCATGCACTCTAACACAAACACATCGCAATACATATACATTAGACATACACCTGCACAATGGAAGAAATGCTTTTACGGGAAAACGTTGACACATAACGTATGAATAAGGACGTAATATTACTAATAATCATTTAACAACATTTTAATTGACTTTCGCGAAAACAAAATGTTAGAGACAAGTAATATTCTAAGAAGGCCGGTCTGGAGTGGTGTTCGCATCGTTGTGTCATTCTTCAAGGCAGATCCACACCTCACATAAAGCATAATTTCTCAGTGCTATTTCCTCCCTGGTGAATAAGAAAAAGAAAGAATTCAGGTCAATAGTGGACAGGTGCAGTTCGTTAACTGTTAGTCAGCTGTAGTGGACAAGAGACTTTTGTTGCTGATGATAGTTCTTATTCAGTCTCAGGTTAATCCAAATCAATATTGAATTATCAACATTCATAGCACCTTTCCTGTAAAATACGCTCAAGAGACAATAAGGGCTCCCCGATGTGTTGTTGCACCGCAGAAACTCATTCCTAAATTAAATCTCACCAAAAAATCACAAATACAAATCATAGTCTCTAACTCTTTTAGAGCCATTAATAATTTGTGTGTAGTTAATATGTCGTAAAGAATACAGAGACATATCGAAGCATGACACAGAACGTGCTAAAACCTGTTTGCTATTTCTTTAACCTGATAGGTCACAAGGACAGGGGAGAAGACGTCAGATAAAATTGTAGTTGTAAGTAATTGTAATTGTAAATGTGAGGCAGCGTGGTGGAATCAGGCTCTCGTCAAACAATCAAAGTGAAGAAACTTGTATTTTTCCGCAGGTTTCTTAATTTTTATCAAATTGTTGTTTTTTTAGCTCAACACCTATCGTGCCCATTAAAGAACTCATTTCTGTGTGGATTTTTTTTAAAAACGTTGATTAAAGGCACAAAAAATTTAAATGTTCAGTTACCACGGACATTTAAGCTAGAAAATAACTAATCTTTGACTGCCATTTTCTCACTAGTTTTACCTCTGAAAACAGGTGATCCCCACCTTTTTCATTCGCAAATATCTCGACTTGTATTCAAGATAAATGGATATTTTTTTGAACCAAATAAAGACAAGCGAACAGGCTTTAAGATGATACCAATAACTCTACATCCCAAAAAATGACGAGAGCCTGATTCCACCACGCTGCCTCTCAAATTTTAATGCTTAACGCTCTTCTTGACACAATAATAAGTTTAGATCTTTGGGGTGCTGGGAGAAGGTGGGGTTGGGGTGTGGGGAGTTTCAACCCTACCTTTCAGGTTCAACCGAGTAAACAGACGAAACTTCTGGAAATAGAAATAGCCAAACACTCAGCGCCACCACATCACATTCGCAGACGAGGAGAGTCAAGTAAAAGATAGTAATTATATAGGATAGAAAGAAGGAGGAAGAAAAACAAACTTCTGATACCACGTCACAGCGCTCTAGGGTCAACGGCCAACAAGTACGTTCGTTAGCCTTGTGACTGGAAGGTCGAGCAGAAAAAAGTAGCCTTTGATAGAAAGAGAAACGGAGAAATAACATTAAATAAACTGTGCGTCGCGTCATCTTAGTCATAGACATGTAGTGTGATATCCTAGATCGTTCACTCTGAAGCATTTCCGGTTTTCTGTGGAGTGTAATATTGGACTTAATTTGAGGACAAGTAGTGTGGGATTTTTGGGGGGAGAGGAGAAATAGCCGGCTGCAATTGACTTAAGCTTTGCTGGTGTTTTGCCCTTCATTTGGGCGTATAGGTGCGGCTCTTAATGCGCACGCTTCGCGACGAAGTTTCTTTAAAACCGAAGACCGGCGGCCATGACAGTGCATGGTCTAAGTGTACGAGTCTATAATGTGCGCAATCCACTTGTGTGACTGTCTGTTTCTACTGATAGGTGTAGCACAATTGAAAACAACAAAAAGAACAACAACGACATAAAAAACGACGATGACGACGACAATAACAACACAAAAAACAACAAGAACAATAACAGCAGCAACAGCAACAACAATGACAATGACAATGACAATGACAATGACAATCTTTATTCATCTCGCAGTGAGAAATTTGTCTTGGTCGTTAACAATGGCAGCAGATGTTACAAAAGTTAGACTTAAAGGTGCACTCCCGCAAACGCACAACAAGACAGGACATTATGCCAAGTAAATACAAGTCTCACGGGCTGGGACAACCCGCTCCGTAACACATTCATTCTCTCTCTCTCTCTCTCTCTCTCTCTCTCTCTCTCTCTCTCTCTCTCTCTGTTTCATTTGTAGCACTGTGTGTTCAATAACCTCACTGCAGTTGGTACGAATGAATTTCTATATCTGTCTGTTCTTGCTTTTTTGGAAATGTATCGTTTACTGCGGGTCGATAGTTGAAATTCCGATGTCAGTGGGTGGCTATGGTCACTAAGCATTATTTCCGCCTTTTTTTAGAACGTTTGTCTTGTGCAGGTATTCAAAGTTACTTAGGTCCCTACCAATTGTTCTTGATGCCTTTTTAATCAACTTATTTAGTTTTATAATGTGCTGCCTTCCCAGATTGCTACCATAGCAAGTGATTCCAAAATTTATCAAAGTTTCTATTGTGGTGGTGTAGAAAATCTGAAGGATGGATGGATTCATATTGAAACACTTTAGTTTCCTCAGAAAGTACAGCCTCTGATTTACTTTTTTAGCGATATTGTTTACGTGGTTTTGCCATGTAAATTTGTTGTCTATTGTAAGGCCAAGATATTTGTATGAATCCGTGATTTCAACAGTTTCTTGTTCAATTGCGAGTGGTGGGATTGTTGGTTTTTCTCTTCGAAAATCAAAAATCATTTCCTTTGTTTTTGAGAGGTTCACTTTTAGAAAATTTGAGTTGCACCATTAAAAAACCTACATATTTCTTCGAAATTCTCTTTTTCATCATGGTTTATTAATCCAATAATAGCGGAGTCATCTGCAAACTTAATTAAGCGTGTTGTTTTATACATACTTCTATGATCGTTGGTATATATAGTATACAAAACTGGTGACAAAACACACCCCTGAGGACCGCCGGCGTTACAAAGAATTGTGTCAGATTTTGTGTTGTTTAGCTTCACATATTGTGGTCTACCTGTCAAAAATTCCAGGACCCATGCAGCGATATGATGACTAACTCTCAGACTCAGAAGTTTTTCAATGACAATATGCGGTTGAATTGTATTAAATGCTGAGGAAAAATCTACAAAAAGTACCCTCGTATACGTTTTAGATGTTTCAAGGTGTTTCAGTATAGAGTCACTAAAAACAAGTACAGCATCTTCTACGTTCCTCTCTTGTTTGTATGCAAACTGGAATGGATCTAGATTTCCATGAACACGGCCTAGAATATTAGAGAGGATCAATTTTTCAAGGCACTTGAAAGCAATGGATGTAAGAGCGACTGGTCTTAAGTAATTTAATTCATATATTTTAGGCTTTTTTGGTATTCTTCGGGGCTTCAAACAATGTCAGAAATATCAACAATTGCAGCAACAAAAATATTAGAGGTGGTGGCCTTGGTGAAAAGCACGCTCTTCGGGGCTTCAAACAATTCAGAAGGAAATTGACGGGGGGAGGCTGGTTTTAAATTGACGATTCTTGGTCAATTTATGGTATCCGGATTTTTTAACGTATTATAATAGTACAATCAAGTGTAAGTCTTAAAAGTGTTTACTCTTTGTGTTACAATCATCATATTTCAAATTTTCTGTCCGAGAACTCCCATTTTGCCTATTAGGTAACAGAATGTTTCGGTTTTTTTAATTAAAATTTTTGATTAAAAAAAAAATCTACTTTTTAATTTTCTTTTTGATTCCAATGAAATTTTCAGGGCTTCCTATTCATACCATAACTTAACTTTATATAGGTGGAAAATGAAATTGATGCTTTCATGAGTGATTTACATGAATGAATATGTAATCGAATTCAGAGGGGATAGGTCAGTTATCCATCCGTAACTTTTTTCTTATTCAAGACATCTAAGATCCCATCTGTATGAAATTTTGTATTGGGTATATCTATCAATGAACATTTGAACAAATTCGGTTGGTAAATAAAAAAATCCTTTTTACTTTTATGAAAGCTGTTTATTTTCAATATGGCGGTCGTTGCCATGGCAACCGTAGACTGAAAACAGAAAAATAAAAGTTTTATTTTACCTCCTTGCTATAAGGCCTTATCTAAAAAGGCCATAGTTACCGAGATAGGTTTATAAACCAGCCCCTCACCCCCTCCTTAACAGCAGCAGCAACAACAGCAACAACAACAACACCAAAAAACACCACTACCACCACCACCACCACAACAAAAACAATAACAACAACACCACCACCACAACAACAACCTCCACAGCAACAACAACAACACTGCCACCCACGGCCAAACTTCTTGTCCGGGATCTCCTCCGGCGTTTCCTCAGGGGGTGGGGCTGGGGGCGGCTGTACGGTGTCCCGCCACGACTCGCTGCTCTGTTCCGACTGGACCATGGTCAGCAGACAGATCAGTTCGTCCCCTGTACACACAGGACAATTAATTAATCGTCACAACGCGGTGTAACGAGGAGCTTGTCATTTTTTTTCAGCGTATGGAATTACAAATATAATCTTAAGGGGAGTTCATTTTTCTTGCTTTTCGATGAAAAAATGACACTTTTATCTTTAGCAGAAGTCGAGATATTTTTTTGATGAAATAAGTGGGGTTCACCTGTTTTCAGAGGTAAAATTAGAGAGAAAATGGCTGCCAAAAGTTGGTGAATTTCAAAGCTCGAGAGTCCTTGGAAAATGTAAATATACATTTTTTATGCCTTACATTAATCAACAATTGTCAGTAAAATCCACACAGGAATTTCTTCTTAAATGAACGTTAAAGTTGAGCAAAAAAAAAGAAAAAAAAAAAGAAAAAAAAAAGAAGGCAAATTTGAAAAAAATACCGTTTTCTTCGATACCAATATTTTGACGAGAGACTGGTTCCACCGCGATGCCTCACAATATTTTACATGAATTATATTAGGTGGCGGGCACACTTAGCAGTAAAAGCAGAGTTATCTTCGACCCCCCCCCCCCCCACCCGACCCCCACCAACTTCGTTTTTTCCCCTTTTTTTCCGTACCCTTGTTAGTCGGCCACGCAAAAGGTGGATTTAAGGAGTCCAGGAAACCCTTAGAAATTATAATATCCCAATTGAAAGAGCTGTTGAGCTGGCCCACCGTAGAAAACTGGATCTCCGTTCGTAGCCCACCGGCAACAGAGGATGAAAAAGTAAAGTATAAGTAAGTAAGTTAAAGCTTAGGGCGTAACTGACTGCAAGTTCTCCATCTCACGGTGCACTTGATTTCACGTACACGCCTGTTTATCTGATAAAATATATTTTTAAATCACAAAATCATCCCCTTCCTGACAGGCACCCACGTTCAGTTTACTTAGTGACTCTCGCTATAATTTATCATACTGCTAAGAGTGGCCCTAGTTTTGAGTAGGAACTTACACAACAAGAGACGGAACATGCTCATTTTTATAATGCGCATGATGTTACATCCTGACACAAGGGGCATAACAGCTATTGAATTTTGCACTTTCAGCTGCTCGAAAGGTCAACTCTTTTCAATTTAAGAACCACCGAAAGATCTTTAATATCTTACTTCAATTCTTTTTTCTTCCTTTTCTGAGAAGACTAGGTGCTCGATCCCACCTAGCTATTCTTGGATCAAAAAGTACAGAAAACATTTTTTTAAAATAGCCAGACGCTGACAGGGGTACTAGGGATCGAACCCCGGGCCTCTGTGTTGACAGGCGGACACTATAACCCAAGAGCTACTGAGCAAGCTGTGCGTGATGGGACTTTCACGCTTTATGTCGAGGTGGACTCAGGTATAGGTTATTGAGTGGGCTCGTAGATCAAAGAGACCTAATGAGGGCTGGCATTTATAGCTTTCCATAGGCGGGAGTACACGACGTTTAGTAAAAATAAGTACTTTGATTTGTAGTAGCCCAGAGCGATTCATACTAGAGTTATATGGTATAAAGCTACTTATTTACTGTGTACAGTGAAAATGAGGTTCAAATTTTTGACATCTTCCCTGGGATAATATTGTCTAAAATCCTCTAAAAACTCGTACTCTGTGACCCTGCTTTTCAAATACTTGGTTCTGTGTCTAGTAAAAGGGTGGTAACTCCATTAGAACGAATGAACTCGTAATTTTATAACATGGTCGTAATTTTTCGTAAAGCTTAATGAAAAAGGGTAATAAAATAAACTCTTGTATGGAAGAAGAGATTGCTATAGGACAGATTTTTGAAAAAGTAATTTTGAAAAAAGGATGTGGATAAGAGAGAGAGAGAAAGAAAGAGAGAAAGAGAGAGAGAGAGAGAGAGAGAGAGAGAGAGAGAGAGAGAGAGAGTGAGTGAGAGAGAGAAAGAGAGAGAAAGAGAGAGAGAGAGAGAGAGAGCGAGACAGAGGCAGAATCAGAGAGAAAGACAAATACAGAAACAGATATAAAGAAAAAAAGGAAAAGCAGGCAGAATCAGAGACAAAGAGATACAGATGGATTTGAACCTATGTCCTTAGTGATTGGGCGCGAAACCATCTTACCTTTTGTATAATTTTGTTTTAGCTTTGAGTAAGTTTAACGGTACTTATAAAACAAATAGTTCACACAAAAGCCACAGATTAGAGGTGTTACTAAAGTTACTTACAAAGTAAAGAGAAGGTTTAGTTTTAGTTAGAGTTTTGCGGCACTTGAAACACAAAAAAGAAAAAGAGGAGGAGAGAGATAAGAACTTTGTTAAAGAAAGAGCTTTACAGCACTTGCAATACAATAAGGTCACATAAGTGCCGAAGATTAGAGGTCTTACAAGGGAGTTATAAACCCAACAAAGAAGGAAGGGAGATAGGGACGACATGTCTGACAGGAAAGAAGAGGCAAACCACTGCAGAGACAAGGACGATACTTTTGAAAGAAAGAGCTAACCACACCAGAACACCTGCCGACCACCCACTCTTACCCGTAGGCCACAGACACATCCTGTCCCTCACAGCCTGAATCATGTCGTCAGAATTTCTCACGTCCGTGACGATTTGACCTTTGGCCAGGTCAGCGGGGTCAGGGGGCGGCAACACCTCCCGGCCCCGCCTCTTTCGAACACGGCGACCGAACTGGAAAAATGGTGTAAGTTGTTTTTAGAATGTTCTAATTATTTTTTAAATATCAGTTGCTGATTTTTTGTTTGGAAAACGAAAAAAAAATAAATCTAGCGACCAATAGGAAGATTTCATTTACAGATAGCAAACATGTATTCACATAGACACGCACACATGCATACTCACGAACAGACACACAAAGACACATACTCACATAAACACTCACACCTGTGTGCGCATAGAATCACGTACCGGTACATGCAAACACACAGACAGACGTACACATGCGTTAGCATGCAGCCATACAACGC